CTGATCTGAGATCTCCCCTTCCCCTTTTTTAGCAAGAGGGGAGGGATGGCCAAGAGAATCCCTGTAGACCCCCATTTGTCTGGCTGAAGATAAGATCACTTTTATTGTCATTTTTTTTACTGTGGGCACACTGGCACACATTAAAAATGAAATTCGGTTGCCTGCTCTCAAAAGTGTACACATACAAAACACACATGCAGACATGCTGTATACATACATACGTATATACCTACAGTCTTACATAAATATACATATAAATAATCACTGTCCATCCTGAATCCATAGCAGAAAGAGGAAGCTTGAGAGTTCACAAGGCTGATACAGGATGGAATGAAGCTGTGACTGAATCTGGATGCTCTGATTCAGATGCCACGAAGCCCCCTCCTCCCGGAAGGGAACAAGGAATGTAGGTTGTGAAGAGGATGTGTAGTGTCTCAGACAATACTGTGGACCCTGCTCAAGCAACGCTTATATGCTATGTCCTGGAGAGAAGGGAGTGAACTGCCAAGGATCTTTTCTGCCATTCTCACCACTCTCTGCACTGCTTTCCTGTCTGAAGCAGTGATGCTTCCAAACCAGACTCTAATGCAACAGCAATAGCATTTAGACTTATATACCGCTTCACAGTGCTTTACAGTCCTTTCTAAGTGGTTTACAGAGTCAGCATATTGCCCCCAACAATCTGGGTTCTCATTTTACCGATCTCGAAAGGATGGAAGGCTGAGTCAACCAATATGACAGGATGCTCGCGATCGTCCCCCTGTAGAAAGTGGTAAAGACAGGGGAAGGAAGATGTGCTTTTCTCATGCGACACAGAAAATGCAGGCGCTGCTGTGCCCGCTTCACCAGTTTCTCACTGTTGAGCGACCAAGTCAGCCTACTTGTTAGTTGCACGCCCAGGAATTTGATGCTGGTAAACATCTCCACAGGTGAATCATTAATGCACAGAGAAGTGTGGCTGTGCCTGCCTTTTTTAAATCAACAATGTGTGTCTTGATCAAATATAGTTTCCTATCTGTAATTTGTCAATGTTGCAAAGGCAGTCTGGTAGATAATTTAATCAGTACCAACTTCAATCAGCTGGTTTCTTCAGTTAATTCGTAATTAATTTTTCTATTTTACTTATCACATGTGCTAATGAAGAGGAAGAAATTGCAAACCCATAACCCAGCGAAAGTTACTTTTGCTAAATGAGTGTTTTTCTCCCGTAAACTGCATTACAAAAGATGAGTGGAATGCATGGATAAGCGTAGCTGTCAACTTTACAGCTTTGATCTTCATAAATGTACGTGCTTTGTTTGTAAGGATGTTAATGATTTGTAACTTTATGTAGAAAGGGGAGTTTGAGAAAAGAATGCCATGGTTTAAAAGAATAATCTAGATAGGAAGCAGACAAGAAGCAAGAGAAAAGCTTGTACGCAGTGTTTCTCAACCTTGACAATTTTAAGGCATGTGGACTTCAACTCCCAGAATTCCACAGCCAGCAATGCTTTAAATGCCTTAAAATTGTCAAGGTTGAGAAACACTGTTATATTGTATATGATCAGTAATAAGAAAGGTGATTCAGACATTCTGGATCTAGCATATGCTTTGCAGCAAAATTTAAGTGATTTTTCCATTCGGATTAATGTATCCTTAAACAATGTGTTTGGAACCACAAAGAGGAGAGTAGTTGTTGCTAAATGTGTGCTCAGTTTGTTTTCTTTTCTTTTAAAGCCAAGGAAAAGAAGGTAAACAAATTTGTGATGAGAGACAGTTTGGTTTAGTGCAGGGGTCTTCAAACCTGGCAACTTTAAGACTTGTGGACCAACTCCCAGAATTCCTCACCCAGCCAGTCCCACTCAAGTCCCTCTGCCCCAAACAGAAACCAGGTCTGCAGAAATGCAGATGTGATAATCTTGTCAAAAGACTGGAGCCAGGAAGCTGGGATTAGAAAGATAAAGATCCCTATAATCAACAATCGCTCACATCAAAAAAAAAATCCAACACTCATCAGCCACAGCCCCAGGGAAGCAGGATATGACCCTTGGGACATAATAGGATTAACCCACCACCATCAGAATACCAGAAAGGCACACACAGACTCAGGTCAATGTTCATGCCACAGGAACAACTCCAAACAAAATCTCAAGAAGGTATAAAAACCCACCACTCCCTACTATGTGTGGTCAGTTTTTTGCAGAGCCATCTTTCTCTCTGGCTCTCCTCTTCAATAAACTGGAATCTTCTTTCTAAAGCAGTCTCCATATTTGTTTATTCCCAGCTTGGACTGGACCCTGATGGAGATTTTTCTTTCTACATTGGGTTTCAAGTTTACTGGGTTTTCATCTTTGTCCCTTAACATGGCATCTGGTAAGAGTGAAAATGTACCCAGCCAAAATTCACTTAACAAACGTCTCACTGAGCAACAGAAATGTGGGGCTCAATTGTGGACGTATGTCGAGGACTCCCTGTAAACCTCTCCCTGTTCTTCAAAAAAAATGTCCTTTTTGGGGCTTTTTCTTTTTCTTTGGAAGACTTTTGTTGCTGGCTCATCTTCTGATCAGTTCTGTCTTTTGTTCAAATCTTTGTAGTGTTTCTGGCAAGTGGTTAGAGCAGGGGTAGGCAACCTTGGCTATTCCTGAGCCAGTTATGACTTGTGGACTTCAACTCCCAGAATTCCTGAGCCAGTTTTACAAGATCTTATTCTGGGTAATTATTAAGACATGGGGAAATATTAAACATTGTGGTAAGAATGCACTCCCCCCCCAAGAAAATGAAATATTTTGGGGAATATTAAAAGAGGAAGAATATTATATTTCTCCAAAAAAAAGAGAAATGGAGAAAAATCTTAACAAAGGGCAGAAAGCAGCCTCAGCCTCAAGCAAAAAGATGAAGAGGTCAGTCTTTAGGACACTGCAATCTTTTCAGAAAGACTGGGGTCAATCTATCCACAAACAAAAGGCCTTCAGCCCCCACAGCTGATGGGATTAAGAGTTTGCATTCCCCCCACCCAAATTCTAAGGATTAGGACTTAATAGGATTAACCCACCGCCATTAGACTTGCAAAAAACACAAAAGCCCATCTCACCGCACACCAGAAACATGTCCACTTTGAGGTAGGGCAAAGTGGAGGGATTCAGCATTCCAGA